TGGCAGCCTGGTTATAAATAAGTAGCTTATCTGTCCCCTTACCTGGATTTGTAGACTATAAGATAACTTTCAATTTTCGGACTGACTGTAATAAAGTTTCTACTATGACATTATATAATAAAAAAAAAAAAATTGCAGTCTCGTATACTCCTCCATTTGGTAAATTTGCTTTTGAAAAGCATTGATATTGTTATTCATTTCATTTCTGATTCGTTAATTTTCTTGTTTAAGAAATAAATAATCGCTTATAATTTGTTTATTTTCTTGTTCAAGGAACAATGTTTCATTTCTAATTTGTTCATTTTCTTGCTTTTCTTTAGTTAAATTTTTTATGAGTCGTTGGAAAGCATTTATGATACTTTTTTTCAATTCATATATTTGTTCATTTAAATTTTTCATGAGTTGATGGAGAATATTTATGATACTTTCTTTCAATTCATATATTTGTTCATTTAATTGTTTTAATTTATCTAAATTTTTCATGAGTCGTTGGAGAGTATTTGTGATACTTTCTTTCAATTCATATTTGGACTCCTCTTCATCGTTGTTAAACACTTCAATAACCAATATTGAATCATCATAACCAGTTGAATTGTTTTCTTCGGAATAAAAGTTATTATGAAAAATAAGAGCAAAAATAAACAAAAGGGTGCAAATAATGAAAATAATATCCATTTTGTAAATCAGATTCCCTAAGAATGCTTCTATCAAAATTTAAATATTTTTATAGGAATTCGACTTCTGCATAACTCTTCTTGATTTATAAGCAATCTTGGAACAGGAGTCTCTCTTTGATTCAAAAATTGATTTTTTTTTAATACTCAAGACCTGATTTTTTCGCAAATGTGCATTATCGCGCAGTCTTTTGGGGCTTAGCACGCGTATTAGTACGCTCTTTTGCTCTTTATGATTCTCTATTATATTACCTGCAATGCAATCAGAAAAAATTGAAAAACTTGTTTATATGATATAAAAAAAAAAAACCGACAATATAGGATGCATTATCACGCATATTTTGTGCTAGGTACGCGTACTAGAACGCGCTTGTACTTTGTACTTTATATTGTTACCCGAATTATAAATATTAGATCTCTTTGTGAAACAGTATAATATAAAAACTGGTTTAAAAAATTTAAAATTTTATATAATTAAGTTTTTTTTCAGTATTAATATATTTATAAATTTATAAAATATTATATATATAATTACATAATATATGAATTACGTACAAAATCATTAATATAATCTAAATTGTTAATATACTGTATAAAATTATTTGCAATAATAATATTAAAACTGGATTTTATAATAAAGACATTACTTTATACAGTATCGGAGTTTTCGTTGTCCAGTTCGCTATAAAAAGGACTCTGCATATTGTCGGCCGGATGATATGTAACTATCCCCCATGTTTGTGATGAATAGATCCTTGTGTTAATTTTCTTTTTGTTTACTAGAGTCCATAATTAATCAGAAAAATTTTTAAGGAAGAACATTCACGTACGTTACTTGATGAAGAATTATTTACTTTCTTTAAAAAAATTTTTTTACAATTGTATTATTTAATCATTTTTATTAATTCAAAATTGTTCTTTTAATTAAAAATTTTGGAATGAGTTGTTGTGATAATAATGAAATAAATT